GCGGACGGTGTCGCTGCGCTGCACCGCGTCCGACGTGGAGCCCGAGCTAGCTGCCCCGCCGAGTGCGGGGGCTCCCTGTGGGGCTAGGGAGATACTCACAGGCCACCGCCCTGGGACAGGCCGATCCTGGTACCACTCCCATGGCCATGCCCATCCTGGGACCAGAAACACATATATATATATATAGTTTGTTGGATATATATATATATATATATAATATGTAAAATATATATGATGATTCCTCTTCCTATATTTTTGCAAGCCCGGGGGGGGGAACCCTCCTCCCCCAAAAAAAACTGGACCCCCGTGATCTGGGGTTCTCGGGCTCCCTTGGACGTCCTTGGAAAAGGTCACCCGGCTTTCCTGGTCTCCACAAACGCCTTGCCAGCAGACCCAGAGCGATCCGAGGGGTCATCAGAAAGGCTCAAGGAAGGCCCCAGACAGCACAAGAGCGCTCCAAGAGGGACTCCAATTGCGTCAGGACGGCCCAAAAGACCCCCAAGGCACCCCAAGAAGCTTTCCAAGGGGCCATCAAAGCACACAACTCGTCCCATTCCCTTCGTCATCACCTTCGTAAAACTTACAAGTTTAGCATATTCGCCTTTCGGATTTCATCAGCTTTCAAAACGGTTTCAAAGCCCCCCAGATCGCCTCAAGACGCCCCAGAAGGCCCCCAAGAAAGCTTCAAGACGGCCGAGCCGGACCCCACGATCGCCCACGAAAGCCCCAAGACAGCCCATAATGGAACCAAGAGGCCCCCCAAGGGCTCCCAGCACAGACCCACAAGGGCCATGGGAGGTCCCCGGAAGTGCCCTATATGGGTTCACAGGGGGCTCCAGCGGGCCCAAGCTCCCCAAGACGGCCCAAGAAGGCCCCAGGACGGCCTATGCAGGCGCCAAAAAGGCCCACGAGGGCCCCGAAAACACCCCTACGATGCTTCCCCCCCCCGGGAATGCCACCTACAAGACCCCCAAAATATAGAATGTAAAAAAATGATAACAGAGAGAAAAAGTGTAGCGGTATAAGGGGACCAAAAAAACAATAAGGAAACAGTAACATAAAGAAAGGAAAATAGTCTAAAAAGAAAGGAACACACCAACAGAATAATGGAAAAAGGCAAGGACAGTACCCACCGAAAAGAAAAGAAAAAGACCGTCTAAATAGAGGTAAAAGCAGGGTAGATCGAAATAAAGAAAGGCCCAACAACGAGGAAAGGAAGCCCCAAATGGGAGTTAAAGAAAAAAAGAATACAAGAAAGAAAGGCACCTCCCCAAAAAACTTTCCAGAGGCCTTTCAAACTACAAAAACCGTCCCATTTCCTTCGTACAAACTTACAATTCTAGCTTTAGCCTTCCGGATGTCATCACTTTTCAAGACGGTTTCACATCCCCCGAGATCGCTCAAGACTCTCCCCAAATGGCCCCCAAGACAGCTTCAAGACGGCCGAGCCGGGCCCCACGATCGCCCACGAGAGCCCCAAGACAGCCCATAATGGAACCAAGAGGCCCCCCAAGGGCTCCCAGCACAGACCCAAAAGGGCCATGGGAGGTCCCCGGAAGTGCCCAAGATGGGTCCAAAGGGGGCCTCCAGCGGGCCCACGCTCCCAAGACTGCCCAAGAAGGCCCAGGACGGCCCATGAAGGCGCCAAAACGGCCCACGGAGGGCCCCGAAAACACCCCCACGATGTTTCCGAATGCCAACATAAAGACCCCCAAGGCACCCCAAAAAGCTTTCCAAGGGGCCTTCAAAACACAAAAATCGTCCCATTCCCTTCGTAAAACTTACAACTTAGGCATCATCGCCTTTCGGATGTCATCAGCTTTCAAGACGGTTTGAAAGCCCCCGAGATCGCCTCAAGACGCTCCAAAAGGCTCCCAAGAAAGCTTCAAGACGGCCGAGCCGGGCCCCACGATCGCCCACGAGAGCCCCAAGACAGCCCATAATGGAACCAAGAGGCCCCCCAAGGGCTCCCAGCACAGACCCAAAAGGGCCATGGGAGGTCCCCGGAAGTGCCCAAGATGGGTCCAAAGGGGGCTCCAGCGGGCCCAAGCTCCCCAAGACGGCCCAAGAAGGCCCCAGGACGGCCCATGAAGGCGCCAAAACGGCCCACGAGGGCCCCGAAAACACCCCCACGATGTTTCCGAATGCCAACATAAAGACCCCCAAGGCACCCCAAAAAGCTTTCCAAGGGGCCTTCAAACTACAAAAACCGTCCCATTTCCTTCGTACAACTTACAAGTTTAGCATATTCGCCTTCCGGATGTCATCAGCTTTCAAGACGGTTTCAAAGCCCCCGAGATCGCCTCAAGACGCCCCAAAAGGCCCCCAAGACAGCTTCAAGACGGCCGAGCCGGGCCCCACGATCGCCCACGAGAGCCCCAAGACAGCCCATAATGGAACCAAGAGGCCCCCCAAGGGCTCCCAGCACAGACCCAAAAGGGCCATGGGAGGTCCCCGGAAGTGCCCTATATGGGTTCACAGGGGGCTCCAGCGGGCCCAAGCTCCCCAAGACGGCCCAAGAAGGCCCCAGGACGGCCTATGCAGGCGCCAAAATGGCCCACGAGGGCCCCGAAAACACCCCCACGATGTTTCCGAAGGCCAACATTCATTGATTTTGCCCCCATGACATTTCACATTGTGACCCAGTCGTTGAGGGTCTCGTGGCATGCAGCGAAGATGCCCGAGGATGCCCCGTACGAGTTGCATATGCATGTTCATACCCTTGCACACATTGATTTATATGTACTCATGTACGCTGTATACACACATGCAACAATGTAAATATATTGTCTACACCTAGACATTTACACGGAACATGCATGCACGTGCGCGTGTATACATGCATGCGCGCATGTACGCACGCATGCATTCCGCTCGCGCCCTCCTGGCTGGGGCACGCAGGTGCGCACAACGCTCCGGGCCCCAGGGACGGGCCTGGCCAGGGGCGGTGAGCGGGCAGCTCGGAGCGGGCGGGTCGAGGCCCCAGGACCCGTTCGTTCCCCGGGCCCAAGCGCACCAGCTTTCTGGGTTGCGTCCGGCTGGGGCGACGAGGGGGCCACGCAAAGGCCAGCTACCGCTGTCTCAACTCGCCCTGGACTGAGTATACAACTCGCCGCCCGATCCTGGCCGACGACCTGCGAGAGGAAGTGCGAGCTCGAGACGTCGGTGGAGCTCTCGCTGTGGAGGTCCACCTCCTTCGGGGGGTGGGCGGGAACGCCTGTGGCAGAACGCCCTTCAATGAAAACTGCCATGGGCACTCCACGTGCGCATGGCGCCGCATTCCGAGTGCACCGCAACGGGGTAGCCTATCGACGTCCAGAAACAATCGGATGCCTGCAGCAGAACGCACGTCGATTAGCGAAACCGACTGCGGACTGCACTGCCACACTCGGATGCCAATGTCGAGAGAAGCAGGGAAGAGCTCCTCTGTCGACGTGTCTGGGTAGTAAGGCTTCGGGTCGCACACAGACAGCCCCCCCAGGTAGTCCTGGCTGGCCTCAACAGGCCCCCCGAGTAGTACCAGCTGGCCTCAACAGGCCCCCCGAGCAGTCTGCGGCGGTCTCAACACCCCCATGGGCGCGGCGCGCCCCAGGGGCGCCGCGGAGACGGCGCAGGGATGTCGAGACAGCCCCGGGCTGCTCGGGGGGCTGCTGAGGCCAGCTGGGACTACCTGGAGGAGCCCGTTGAGACCAGCTGCGAGGGGCTGCCTGTCCGCAACCAGGAGCCAAACCGCTCAGATCTGACGCTGGAAAAAATGCAACATCGCAGAAAATCACCACAGGAGCCCGGGACCTCATCTTCCTGCATCACTTCTCGAGCCAGATCGATCTGTGAGGGCCCCGGAACTGGGCAAGCACGCCCGACGCGAAAAAAGTTGCAACGCCCAGATCGAGGGGCCATCTCTGGGTGGGCGTTCTCTCGGCCCCCGACTCCTTGCTGTCGCAGCCGCAGCCGGGCCTCGGTGCCCCCGGGCCCTCGGGGCTCGGCGGCCGATTCGCGGAGGGTCGGGCCTGCAGCTCCTGCGTGGGGCAGAGCCCGGGCAGCAGCAGGCCCTGCTCGGGGACCCCCCAAGCCAGGGCACTGCCGACCGGGGCCTCGGAAGTTCCTCCCGAGCGACGAACGCAGACGGGTCTTAACCACGCCCCCGCTCAGAGGTGAAAAGCTGTTGCGCTAAGAAAGCCGGCTTCACTGCAAGGGTTTTGCTTCAACGGTATAGTCCAGGTCCAGAGATACGAACATTCCACGAAGAAAAGATGCTCCAAGAAAACGCCCAGGGTCCAGTCCAGATTCTTGAGTTCCTTCAGCGAACACTGGAGCCCATGAAGGTTGATGTTTTTTCTTCGGGTTTCCGATGGGTGTACGCGAGATGGCATGGCGACCTTACGCGGTGGCTTACGCGGGGCCACCAGCGCGGAACGCGACACTGGAAACGAGGGTGCTTACGCGCGACCTTCCTCCGGCAGCTTACGCGCGGGTGTCCCCCGCACTGCACCCCACAGCTCCTCCACCGCTCACCTGGAGAACACGGGGGACGGAGAATACCTCGACCCGCGGCTGCAGCTATCTAGGGCGCGCCAAGGCGCCCTGCTCTGCCTGCAGGCTCCTCGGCCGCGCCAAGGCTCTGGCTTGCCACAAGGAGTCCCTGTTTGGGCGACCCGGGCCTGCAGGGCGGCGGGGCAGTCTGGATCTTCGGACAGGTCGGCCCAGCTGGCCGCGCGCGCCCCAAAGGGCCTCTCCAGACACGCGAAACCGGTACGGTTAAGTCGGGCCTGTCCCCCTACAGATGGATTTTCAACGAAAAATAAGAAATACCCAACATACCCACAAAATAATGAAAAAATTATCAAAAAATAGTTTGAGGACTATTTTTTGAATATTTGTTCCCTTTTTGGTGCATGTTTGGGGCATTTTTTATTTTTCGTCGAAAATCCCCTTGTTGGGGGACACGCCCGACTTAAGGGTACGGGAAAAAAGGGTACGACGTCCAAGCCCCAAACCGACAGCGGCCGCTTCTGGGCAGACGCCTTCGGTCTCGAGTGGGCAACGTCCGCGGCGACGCCCACAGCGAACCTGGTTCAACATGGGCAGGAGCTGCTGTCGGTCGTCGTGCCCATTCGCTCCGTACCGTGCGTACCCATTTCGACCGTGCCGAGCCTCTCCCGCCGCGGTGACGCCTTCCATCGGCCGTCGTCTCGCCCCAGGAGCCCGCCGGTGTACGTGCAGAGGGCGGAGGCCAGCGGGCTCTCCCTGACGAGGTCCATCTCGCAGGCTCCGCGGTCAACGGCCTCGAGGGCGCCGCGCATCAGGGAGCCCTCCTCGAGAACAAGAGAAAGCCGTACACGCATGTAAACATTCGGAGGTCCGCGCAGATTTCATGTGTCGGCGCTGGGCGGCGACAGAGGCGCCGCCAGGGGGATCCAGCGCCGATTCCGGAGATCTGCGCGGAGGTCCAGAAACTTCTGTTCATGAGGGGGCAACAGGGCACCGACACCGCTGCAGCCAACCAGTGTCAGAAGGACGAGCGATAACGATGCAAGGGCCTTGAAGGGCCGATTCGAAACTCTTCGAGCGGGGCGCGGCCAGTGACAGTGGCCAAGGATGGGCCGAGGAGGCAAGGATGCAAAATTTCCCTTTTGGAGAATTGCCCATCCTCACCAATGATCGATGCGGGTTGACTGTATTCCCCGGCCTCTCCCGGAATGCCTTGTGACCAGGACTTCTAAGAGAGTCCGGCCGTGGCGGCGAGAACTCTCCATGACAAAGAAGCGGTACAGGTGCCTCCTCATTCTCCTCCCGTGCATGTGCTTTCTGCGTCGACCCCTCAGGCCGGCCCGAGAGACTGCAGCCGCCCCCGAGGGCATTTTCTGGGGGTTCGCGACGACAGCGGGCGCCAGGGGGAAGCGGGGAGGGGGGGGGGGGGGGCGGGGCGGGGGCACAAGGCAACGCCCCCGCCCCGCAACCCGTGGCAGACTCTGGTCACGGACGCACAGCGGCCGTGCTGGGCCGGGGAAGCACAGGGGGGGCGGAGGGGGGCGACGCAATTGGAAGGGGGGGGAAGGGGGGGGGGGGAGGGGGGGGGGGGGAAGGGTGGGGGAGGGGGGGGCAGAACGCGCGTTGTGGCCAGGATGGTGACAAAAGCAAAAAGTCCTCCGCGTTCGAGGCCGTGCCGCTCGACTCGTCCCCCGCAGGCGCCGCCAGCGCCGCGGCGCCGCGGGCGCGGGGCGCGGGGCGCCTCCGCTGCCGCTTGAGGGGAGGCACCCTCTTGGTCGGCGGCGGAAACGCTGCGCGCGACCCGCCGGCAAACACGACGGGCTTGCAGTCGTCGGGCATGGCTAGGGGAACAAAAAGTGACATAAACATAAAACCTCGGAGGTCCGCGCGGATTTCTCGGATCGGCGCTGGGGCCCCCCAGCGGCGCCTCCGGCGCCGCCCCTGGCGCCGGAGGCGCGCCAGGGAGGGGGGTCCAGCGCCGATCCGAGAAATCCACGCGGAGCTCCGAGTTTTTCCCTACCTAGGCTCTGCCTAGAAGGGTTCTTACCCTGTTGGCTTAAAGGGGCAGGGCAGTGGAAATCGCCCCGGGCGGCTCCCCCGGTCCCCTGGGAGCCAAGCAAAAGCAACAGCAAAGGTAAAAGCAAACGCGCGGTTCCCCCAGTTGCGCTCCCAGGGTGCCAAGCAAAAGCAAAAGCAAAGGTAAAAGTGAAGGCAAACACGAAGGCAAAGCAAAATCATAGCATAGCATAGCATAGCATAGCATAGCATTGTATAGCATAGCATAGCATAGCATCGCATAGCGCAGCATAGCATAGCATAGCATAGCATAGCATAGCATAGCGCAGCATAGCATAGCATAGCATAGACTAGCCTAGCCTAGCCCAGCCCAGCATAGCATTGCGCAGCATAGCATAGCATAGCATAGCAGAGCAGAGCATATCATAGCATAGCGCAGCACAGCATAGCGCAGCACAGCACCCACGGAATGTTGCTTTCCAAGAGGCTCCAACTCCTAGGTAGGGTCGCACTGGGATAATTATGTTTATGCCACTTTTTGTTCCCCTAATGGCGTCGTGCATCACCGGGCTGTTCCTGTAGCGATCGACGTGGGCCTGATACCCCTGCGACCAGCTCCAGCCCACCGCCGCCTCGCGCTCGCAGGGCACCTGCCAGGAGGAGAACCCATCGAAGACCGTCTTGAAGTGAGCGGCGTGCTCTGGCCCTGTGAGATTCACGAACGCGAATCCGAATGTCGTGCCGGAGCCGAACTCGAGCGGCATGTAGACAAAGTCATACTTTCCTGCAAAGCCATGTGCGTCAAGCAGCTCTAGCAGGGACGCCCGAGAATAGTTGGGCGGCAGGTTGCGAATTACCACAGTGGTGCGATCTCCACCGCCTTCACCACCGAAGTCGCAGTCGATGACGTCGTTGTCCAGTCTGCCATGTCCCGACGTTGCGAAAAGGCCCTCAAAATCCTCAAGCGCCTGTTCGGTGGTCACTGCTGCAGGCGCGGAGCGGTTGCGCCGGTTGGTGTCCTTGTGGTCCTCGGTGACCTCCGAGATCACCTCTATGAATGTGTTCTGCACCAAGACCTGCGGGGACAACAAGCGACCATAACCACATCGAGGACGCAGCCCGCAGGATGTTGTGCGCATGCCAGCAATCGTCAGAACACCGAGGCCAGCTTAGTACTGGTTGTGGTCGATGTGGGCGTCCACGACGGCCAGATCGGCCAGAACCACTACCAAAATGTTCATGCCGAGGTCGGTGAGTTCTTTCCCGTTGTGGTTATGGTTCGTTGCTGTGCCCCGAAGACCCTCATGGTGCTGCCATCCCAGCTGGCTCCGAGCTGCTCCGGGATGGCGGTTCCGAAGTGTGCTGCGGCTGCCCCTGGCAAGGAGAGGGGCGAGCCAAACATGGCGGCGAAGGATTATGCCGCTGCCACGAGGTGGCCCTCTGGGACTTCGGACGCGAGTTGCTCGGGAGCCTCCCGCTGCCAGCAATCCCCTCTGACAGCCGCGAGCAGCTTCGAGCCACTCCCGCTACGGACCGCGTCCTGTCGTGGGGCTGGGCGCCTCAGGCAACGGAAAAGGAAGACAACAACGCGACGACGACGACGACAACGACAAAGGCAGCGACGACCGACGGCTGGCGGCCAGCGGCCAGCGCCCCAAGACCGACGCGAGGGGACCAAAAGGTGCCGAGACCGCCCTTCCCAGGGGCCTCTCCGGGGCTGCGCTCCTGCCGGGCTGCCAACAGAGGCGAGTCTGGCCGCGGCCGCGCGGGCAGGGCAGCGGCGTCGATGCCTCGTCCTCCTCTCTGGCGACGGACGACGGACGACGGACGCCGCAGCGACGGCAGGTCGACGACAGCGGCGGCGGCGACGTGACGGCGGCAACGGCCGCGCGTCGCCGGCCAGCGCGCAAAGGGTGCGCGCGCGGCCCCCGTGGCCCTTTGCGGCCGCCCCGCGGCGGGGGGGCGGCCTCGAAGGCAGCGCGGAAGCGGCTGGACACGAGGCTCTCCTCGCGCGCGCGCGCGGGCCGCGCGAGGGTGCTTCCGAAAAGGCTCCCGGAGGACGTCCTGCCTCGGGATGCCTTCCAGCAGCTGCGCCTCGCCGAGAGCGTCCCGGGGGTGCCCAGATCCTCCCAAGCGGCCGCCGGTGGCGTGCGGTCTGGCACGGGTATCAAGCGCCTGGGGAAACCGTTCACAGTCCAGGGCTGTCAAGCAAATTCATATTGAGATGGCTCCGATGTCCACGCTGCAACAGCCATACAGTGTCGAAGTTTGGCCGCGTGCGTGCCCTTTCCGGGCCTCCTAGGGCGCCCTCGTCGCCGCGGCCAGATCTGGCTCGAAGTTCTGCCAGGAACGCGCCGGGGGAGAATTCTGGGGGCGATGCCGATGAGGGGCTGCTAGTCGAGGCATCGCGACAACAACTGCTTCGGGTGATCCCCACAAGGGAGCTGCTGCGAATGATTCCGAGGTCTGTCGCGTGTGACTCTACAGAGCGATACGTTACATAATGTTCTGCGCGTGGTCGTTGAACACGTTCTGTATGCTTGGTATGTGCGCATGGTGTTACAGGTGTTTTGTGTGCTCATTGTTCACACGTGTTGCTTACGGGTGATATTCCGGCATTACGTTCTGTCTCTCACGCACGCGCTGCTTGCAAGCATATTGCGTCTGGATGCAAGCTTAAGACGTATGTCATGTCGATGGTGCTCTCGCTGGAGAGAGCTACGAACGCGAGTGCTTGATGTGTATGTGGGTAACGCAACTCATTAAATATAGTAACTGTTGCACGCCCCTCATGCACGGTACAAAATTGTTAGATGCACGTTGTGTGTGCCATTAATGTACTGGTTATGTGTGGCACGCTGTTGATAGCTATTCAAATGACATCTGGATGCTGAAGTTGATGTTTGGTGTGATTCGGGTCCTGGTGATTATATCACTCGTGCATGTGTCGGTGTTATGCTGCTGGTGCTTGTTACCGACGTATGTCCTTGATGTGCTCGATTCGTGTATGTCATTTCTGCATGCATCTGGTTCGTGCTACAGATGTGTGTGTGTGTGTGTCAATCCTGTCCGCTCTTGTGATGTATGGTCCCCCTATCTGCTCGCGGTGAACTCTCTTGCTGTATGTTTTTGGGCGTATGTCGTGAAGTATATGAGAAATGTGTGGCATTGTTGCGTGCGGTTGATGTTTATGTCGACGCACGTAGTTGATGCATGATCTTGCTGTCTGTCATGAACGTGCTGATGTTGGCGATTGGCGTCAGCGTGTTCTTGACGGAGTTGGATGGGCCTGCCGAGGTTTCGCCTGGTGCCCAGTTTGTGCCCGCTCGTGGGCGCCTAGTGGCCTAGTGGGCGCCCCGTGCGCTGGATGGTCTGTCGAGGCTTCGCCTGGTGTCCAGTTGGTGCCTGGTCGTGGGCGCCAAATTGCGCTGGGTTGGTTTGTCGTGGTTTCGCCTGGTATTCGGTTAGTGCCCAGTCGTAGGCGCCTCGAGCGCATGAGGCTTCGCCTGGTGTCCAGTTGGTGCCTGGTGGTGGGCGCCCCGTGCGCTGGGTTGGTCTGTCGAGGTTTCGCCTGGTTTCCACTTGGTGCCCAGTCGTGGGCGCCTCGAGTGCGCCCCATGCGCTGGGCAGTCTGTCGAGGTTTCGCCTGGAGACCGATGGTGCCGGGTCGTGGGCGCCTCGTGGGCGCCCCGTGCGCTGGGCTGGTCTGTCGAGTCCGCTTGGTGCCCTGTCGTGGGCGCCTGGCGGGCGCCATGCGCGCTGGGTTGGCCTGCCGAGGCGTCGCCTGGTGCCCAGCTCGTGCCCTGCTGTGGGCGCCTCGTGGGCGCCCCGCGCGCTGGCCGGTCTGTCGAGGCTTCGCCCGGTGTCCGCTTGGTGCCTGGTCGTCGGCGCCTCGTGGGCGCCCCGTGCGATGGGCGCACCGCGTGGCTCGCACCAGATGGCTTGCTCCGCACACGTGTGTATACGAGTGGCACGCGTGTGCCCAGGCTCATACCAAAAAAAAAAACTGAAAGGGCGTTCGAAGCAGGAAGACACCATGACTGCAGGATCGGAGATGGAGAAGGGGAAGCTGGGGCGGCGCCGCCAGGGCGTGCCTAAGAGCAGGGGAAGAGGCAGGAGGTGAACGCAGAAGAATCTAAGATCGAGGTCGCACTCGAGCGCAAGTGGGTTTGCCACACCTTGCGATGTGTGTACCAGGGCCCCCCAGGAAACCTCAGGAGGCCCGACTTGGATACCAGAAGAGGCTCCAGGAGGCCCCGGGATTGTGAGTGTTGTGTGTATGTGTGTGTGATGTGTGCTCTGTGTTGTGCGTGTTTTCTGTGCGTTGTAGGTGTTGTGTGTGTTATGTTTGTCTAGCGTGTGATGTGTTGTGTGTGACTTGTGTCTCTGTGTGTGCATGTAGTTCTGAGGCCCCAGGAGGCCCCAGGAGGCCCCAGGCGGCCTCAGGAGGCCCCAGAAGACCCCTGGAGGCTCCAGGAGGCCCCAAGGAGGCTCCAGGAGGCCGCAGGAGGCCCCAGGCGGTTCCAGGAGACCCCCAGGAGGCTCCGAGGCGGGGTCTGGGGTACCAGAAGGTACAGAAAGCCCCAGGAGGCCCCAGGAGTTTGACTGAAGTCATCCCAGCGGTTCTCACTGCGGATGACAAAGAGCTGCCAGCTCGGGTCTTTGGCCAGCACCTTAAGCAGGATTGAAACATAGTGCTCGTAATCGTGGACGAAATGGGATCCACAGCCTTTTGGAAAGGCCTGCGAAGACACATCGCTCCAGAAGCAGCGCACTCGCCTTCCGCATCAAGCGGCATCATATCGTTAATGTCGCTTGATGTTATAACAGCGGCCCGCTTTCCGGAGGTGGTATGAGCACGCCGACATAATCCTCTGCACGATGAAAGAAACTTGCGCCATCCAACCCTTTTTGTCGCCGCGCCAAATTTTGCATGAACGTAGGTTCCCACGCGCAAGAAGCCTCAGAAGCCAAGGCGGCCGTGTCGCGGTCCTCTCGACATTGATGCGCCTGTTTTTTCTCTCCACTAACTTGATCTTCCAAGAATGCGAGAAGACCCCTGCCTTGCCCACGTGAGCATCTGCGACGTCCTCGCGAGGAGGCCTCCCGCTCCTACCGGTGATTCCAGCTGCTCCCGCAGCACCAGCCACAGTTCCGCTGGCCAGAGCAGACACCAAAGCGCTCTGCCCGGACTGCCGCTGGCATGAGCCACCTGCCGCCGGCGCTGGCGCCGGCGCCAGGGCCTGCGGAGCTGCGGCCCCCGCTGGCCCTCCTCCGCCCTGCCCCGGCCCTCCTCCGCCTGTCGCCGCCGGCGCCTGCGCCGGGGCCAGCGGAGCTGCGGCACATGCGCAGCCCCGCGCTCTGCCCCGGCCCTCCGCCTGCCGCCGCGGGCGCTGGGGGCCCACGCTGGGGGCCCACCGCTCAGGGCCAGGGCTCCCGCAGCCGCCGCGGGCGGGGCCCCGGGTGGGTCTCGGTGGCGAGCGGCCTGCCAGAGGGGCCCCTCGCCGGTGCCGAAGAGCGCGCGGTCGCTGGAGCCGCCGCGGAGGCCGAAGCCGACCAGCAGCAGCAGCAGCAGCAGCAGCAGCAGCAGCAGCAGCAGCAGCACCGCGGGGCAGAATGGCGCCAGGAGTCGCTAGAGTGAAGGGCCAGTGTGCGTGTATGGCTGGTGTGCTGCGGCCGTGTGGAACTGCGCCTGGGCCGCGCGGGCCATCGCCAAGCTCGGGCCCCGCTCGGCCTTGAGCCAAAATGGCTACGGAACGAATGCAAGGCACGATTCGCTTCCAGTTGCCAGTGGGAGTTAATATCCACAACACCCCTCAAGCTGATCGTCCGCGCCAGGCTGTTCCATGCGAGCAAAGAGATCAAAGTTCTCAGCCGCCAGCTGCCGCGCTACCAGATGACCCGACAGAGCCTGGCGCCACAAATGCCAGTGATACCCAGGCGATCGCTGGCGCAGACGACGACAACGACGCGGTGGTGGTGGTGCTGGCAGTGGTTCACAAGAAGGCGGGCTTGCACCCAACCTCGGTGCCTCTCGGCGGTGCTCCTGCGACTATGCCGGTCCTCCAGATGGCAACTGGCACGATGCCGTGGACCCGCGCGGGGGCTCCGCCACAGCAGACGCCGTGTGTCCACCGGGCCGCGGCCCAGGGGCCTGCCCCGCGAGGCCGTGGATGCGAGCCCGTGGGCGGGCCGGGGTCAGCGCGCACCCACATGAAAGGGCCCAAGGACACACAAGGCTCTCCTGACCCCAGACCCACGCAGCGCAGCCAACACACATCGTGGCGGTGAGCTTTTTGTTAGGCTACTCGGGCCCGTGGGGCCGTCAGACGAACGGCTCGAATTGAAAAGCCGGCCCTTGGGAACGGGTCGAGATCCTGGGGGGCCCGCGTCGGTGCCAGCCGATTGGTGCACACGCAGGCGGACTCAGTCCGACGTTCTTAGCGACTGGAGGAGCCTCTCCGCAACTCCAGATCCGGTGGGGATCGCGGGGCCGACTTCCTATGGCATCCTTGGGCGGCTTCTTAAAATGAACCCCAGGGCTTCACAAGACTGGGTGAACAACCCGCTGAACCTGCCCCCGACCTCCTCGTGTAGAGGCCCCGGTTACCAGTTCATGTGTAGGGAAACTGGAGGTGTCGATATCACCGATCATCTGTGTGGCCTGCAGGCGGAGGCGGACGTCAATGGTTGACATCTGAAAGAGACACGAAGGGGGCATCAGAAAGTCTCTGAGAGTCTCCTAAATGCCCCTGGAGGCGTCCAGAAGCCTCTGAAGAACCAAACATGTGTTTTCGTGAAACAAACATGGTCGACCCAAGAACTTTGCAAGGAACGTAGAAATGTTATGTATGGAAACATGGGCGAATGATAATTGCGATGCTGAAGGTATCGATCGTCATGTACCGTGCCAGGGGCTGTGCTGTGCTCTGCCATGCTGAGTTGAGATGTGTCATACCGCGAAGAACTGCGTTTCGCTTTATTGCGTTGCGGACCAAATCGTTCTAGGCATCCGGACCGTGACCGAACTGAACTGCGTCTTCAGCTCAAGCTGCCTGAGCGCATAGCTCGCCCACAGATGGGTGCAATCAAAGCGTGCGGGGCGCTCAACCAGCTCGAGCTCAAGATCCGATGCAATTCCGAAGCGGGGCGAATCCAGCAGGGACGAATCCGAACCGAGGCGAAACGGACCAACTGTGGGCGGACCGAAACGCGGCGAACCGAGACGTGAAGAATTGAGACAGGACGAACTGAAGCAATGCGTAGCGAGACGAGGGCCAGACCGACCCCCCCAACAGAGTGGGGGCAAAACAAGCCAAGACTGGGACGAGCCGAATACGTGTCGGCTCACCCTCCTGAAACCCCATGGCGTCTCCTGCAGGGGAAGCCGAACTCCGAGGGCCAAGAACCCCTCGTACATTGCCAAGGATGCGCCTCCAAAGCCGCGATCCTGGCACACATTGCGACTGATCCGTGGTTTGTTGAGCTGTGCTGTGTCATTCAAACTTAATTTGCTCCGTGTTCCATCACGTTGTGGACAAGGTCACCCTTGGCATCCGAATCCTGACCGAACTGATCTGGCATTTAAGCTCGAGCTGCCTGGATGCATAGCTCGCCCAGAGTTGGTTGCAATCGAAGTGGGCGGGTCGCACAACCAACTCGAGCTCAAGACCCGATTCGGTTCCGAAACAGGACGAGCCCAGAAGGGACGACTTCCAACCGAGGCGGAACGCAACGACAATGAACGGACCGAAACGCTGAGACAAGAGGATCCCTGCTGGGTGGCCAAGACACGCAAAAGCACGTGCCACGTAAGCGGGCGCATGATGCATGTCAGATGACCCCATCCGCGCACCAACGTCTCGCGAGAGAGGCCGACGATCTCATCTTAGATATCCCTGTGGGCGACCTAGACACGAGAAAACAAGCGCTTCGCTGAAGACATCCCCAACAAACTCTGCAGAACAAGCGTTTTGCTCGAGAACTCATCAACCTCTACAAAACGAGGCTTCACCTGAGACATCCTCAGCACATTATGCGAAACCAGGGCTTCGCCGCAGACATCCTCGGGCAAAAGAGCCGCCAGCTCCGAGCATGGCATAGGGGGACCGGTTCATCCAGTAGAAGAGAACCGCTAAAAAGGAAACCTGGGCCTGGGCCCTGTCCAGGACAGAATTGCATTCGTCCTCCTCCTCCTCCTCCTCCTCCTCATCCTGCTCCTCCTCCTCCTGCTCCTCCATTTCCTCATCCTCCTTCCTCCTTCCTCCCTGCTCCGTCCTTCCTCCTCCCTTCACAATTACACACTATGAATACTACTCTCCTCTCTCCCCTGATGACGTCCGAGATGTTCGGCCCCCCTGCGCGTTTTTTTTCTTAATAAAATCCCGGGAGTTGGGTTTTCGCTAGATTTTTGTTCAAAATGCTGTTTCCGCTGAAGCGCTGGCCTCATTTCGGGCTTCCGCTCGTTCCGAATCGTGCTCCCGCTGTAGCGCTGGCCTCATTTCCGCGCGTCCGCTCGTTCAGAATCGTGCTCCCGCTGCAGCGCTGGCATCATTTCTGCGCTTCCGCTCGTTCCGAATCGTGAGCCCGCTGCAGCGCTGGCGTCATTATTTCCAGTGCCATGCCACGGCATGCAACGCAAGGATACGCGATGCTTGACTACGCAGTGCCACGCCATGCTATGCCATGCTATGCTTTGATCTTCAACGCCATGCAATGCCATATTCTTTTTTCGTGACGCTGTGCGATGCCATTCTTTGCGTTGCAATGCTTTGTGGTACAGTGCTTCACTACGCAACGCCACGCCATGCTATGACATACTGCACTCTGCCGTGCTCGTCTACGCCCTGCTATGCCGTGCTCTACGATGCGTCGCGCACCCTCTCGGGATCACTGCCCTGCTCGACATCCGACTGTGCGAATAGAGAGGAGATCTATACCATGGTAAGGGATGGGAGGGAGGGGAAAGGCGTCAGATATGACGCGAGCGCACCTAGCTTGTCCCTCCCCCCTCTCCCTCCTCCCTCCTCCCGCCTCCTCCTCCTCCTCCTCCTCCTCCTCCTCCTCCTCCTTAGCCAGTCTCTTCGGCTCCAGGGGAGCCCACTGACGTACAGCTCACCTCTTTTATTGCTATGCCTGACAGCTAGCCTGGACAGAGGCTCCATGAGATTCTGATGTGTTCTGCTCTGCGCTGCCCCTCCTCTCCTCCCCCTCTTCCTCCGCGAAGAGATGGGCGCGAGGAGGGGGGGAATCCGTCTCCCTTCCTCCTCGGCCCTCCCCCCTCCTCCCCTCCTTCCCCTCCGCCGTTGGCTCCTCATCCTCCTCTCCCTTCTCCTCGTCCTCCTCTTACTCCTCGCCCGACCATTTCCGAAATATGATCAATCTTCAATCTGCGACTTGCACTCGTCATCATCGTCGTCATCATCATCATCATAATCATCATCATCATCATCATCACCCTCATCATCATCATCATCATCATCAGCAGCAGCAGCAGCAGCAGTATCATCATTATCAGAATCAGCATCACCATCATCATCTTCAACATCTTGATCGTCACCATCATCATCATAATCATCATCATCAGCATCATCATCATCAGTATTATCATCAGCCTCAGCATCATCATCTTCATCATCGTCCGTATCTTGATTAGCCACATGATCATCATCATCCTCGTCCTCATGAACAGCATCAACATCAGCATCAGCATCACCATCAGTATCAGCATCATCAGCAGCAGCATCAGCCTCATCGTCATCATCAGCATCAGCATCATCATCATCAGCAGCAGCATCAGCATCATCTGTATCAGCATCCTAATTCGCATCATGCGCATCGTCATTGTGTTCAGCAGCACCAGCAAAATCATCATCACCATCGCCACACGCATCATCACCATCATCATATACGAATGGCATAACCATTAGCACCACCGTCATTACCATCATCACCATCACCATCACAATCATCATTACAACCACAATCACCACCATCGTCATAACCGTCCTTGTCATCACAGGCAAGCGTTATCGTCATCGTCATCATCAGCATCGACACCACTATCCTCATCAGCAGCAGCGTCATCCTTCTCCTCCTCCTCCTCCTCCTCCTCCTCCTCCTCCAGGAAGGGGAGCGAAGCGGTACAGAACGAGGAGCGCACCATCTTGTCGATGGCGCGGAAGCCGATGCGCAGGCAGTCCCGCCGCCTCCGGCGCTTGCCCAGGGGGGCACCCGCCTCTGCACCCACGCAAGAACTCCCCCCGACGATAGGGTGGAGAGACCCCCGGCCCCTGACGTCCCCTCGCTGCCAAACAACTGACGACGGAAGGCTCTTGCCCGTTTTCGGCATCTGAGGGCCCTCGCCAGGCCCTGGGGCCGTTCCCACAAATTGCTCGGGACGGAAAACTGGTGCAGGCGAGGGGTCCAGACCTCTGGGGGGCCACGCTGCAAACAAAAACACGACGTCGGACGGCCATGTTTTTTTTCAGTTTCGTTGTCGCCGAATGCAGCCGCCCAAAGCCGCCAAGATCGGGTCTATGGGCCCAGACCTCCGACGTCATGATTTGTTCATGACGTCGACCACCAGCAGTCTCGATACCTTCCCCATGACGGGTTTCTCAATCTCGAGTCGTTTCTGGACGGTCCCGAGGCCAGGTAAGGGCCCCCCCGAGGCTGAAAATAGCGGAAACCCTCCCGCCGTGACTTTGATCATGACCCGAAGAAGCCTGGGGGGGAGGGGGGCGGGGGGGCTGGGGGCCCGCGCCGATCGGCGAGACCATGAATGAACGTCAGGGGGGGCCCAACCCTATGCCTTCGGCCGTCCCCTGGGTACACCTCCGCTCTATCCCCCCTCCGTCCTCCTCCGCCTCCCGTATTGTCCATGCTCCTCCTCTTGCGCTCCTGGTCCTCTTCTTCTCTTCCTCCTCCTCCTCCTCCTCCTCCTCCTCCTCAACTTTTTGCTCTTCCTCTTCTTGCTCAGGCTCCTCTTCCTCATCACCATGATCAGCACCATCGCCATCCCCCCGAGGTTCTCCTCCCCCATGTGAGCCCCCCCCTCCCCCTCATCCCCTCCCTCCCCTTCCCCTCCTCCCCTCCCCCCCTCACCATCCACCCCCCCCCTCCCGCGGCACTCCTCCCTCATCATCCCCCTTGCCATCCCCCCGCAGTGCTCCTCCCCCCCTTGCCCCCCCCCACCCCCCCTCCCCCATCCTCCCCTCCCTCCCCTCCCCCTCCTACCCTCCCTCCCCCTCAACAATTACTCAATATGAGTACTACTCTCCTCTCTCCCCTGAGTATATGGAGGAATCTGTCTCGGAGTGTTCGGCTCCCCCTCGCGTATTGTTTTTCCACGCAGGACGCAGGCGAGTTGGGTTTTCGCTTGAGTTTTTGTTATCGAATGCTGCTCTCGCTGAACCGCTGGCCTAATTTCCGGCGACCGCTCGTTCCGCATCGTGCTCCCGCTGCAACGCTGGCTTCATTCCTGCGCTTCCGCTCATTCCGAATCGTGCTCCCGCTGCAGCGCTGGCCTTATTTCCGCGCTTCCGCTCGTTCCGCATCGTGCGCCCGCTACAGCGCTGGCGCCATTATTTCGAGCGCCATGCCCCGGCATGGTTTTCGGTCTTTCCAAATAGGCCCCAAAATCTGGAAAATGGCCTCCCGAAGAAACCATCGGAGGTAACTACACATTCGGTGTCGATTCGTTGATTTTTGGGGCCGCACAAGCCTCTACACCTTGGGGCGTCGCCGCGCCATGCTGTCATGCTACGCGTTGGTCTTCGACGCCATGCTGTGCCATGTAATGATGCGCCATGCTACGACATCCGACTGTGCGAATAGAGAGGAGATCTACGCCACGGTAGCGAGCGCACCTAGCTTGCCATCCCCCCCTCTCCCCTCCCCCCTCCGTCACAAAGACGGGCCCAGGGCTCTGGGGAGACACGCTGCGCGACAGCCACGGCGACGGGCGCCCGGGCCCTCCTCCTCGCCCCGCTCTCCCACGCTGGGCCGCAGGAGCGGGGCCCAGGGGGGCCGCAAAGCGAGCCTCTCTGGCCCTGCACCCCGCGCCTAGATCGGCTTCCCGCCGCCGTGCTGCAGCGAGCACCTCATCGAGAGCCTCTCCCCATCCTCCTCCTCCTCCTCCTCCTCCTCCTCCTCCTCCTCCTCCTCCTCCTCCTCCTCCTCCTCCTCCTCCTCCTCCTCCTCTCCTCCTCCTCCTCCTCCTCCTCCTCTCCTCCTCCTCCTCCTCCTCCTCCCTCCTCCTCCTCGTCCTCCTCGTCTCCCCCCCCCTCCTCCTCCTCCTCCTCCTCCTCCTCCTCCTCCTCCTCGTCCTCGTCCTCTTCCTCTTACTCCTCCTCCTCGTCCTCCTCCCCCTCCTCCCCCTCCTCCTCCTCCTCCTCCTCCCCCTCCTTCTCCTCCTCTTCCCCCACCTCCTTCTCCCCCTCCTCCTCCTCCTCCTCCTCCTCCTCGTCCTCCTCTCCTCTTACTCCTCCTCCTCGTCCTCCTCCCCCTCCTCCCCCTCCTCCTCCTCCTCCTCCTCCTCCTCCTCCTCCTCCCTCCTCTCCTCCTCCTCCTCCTCCTCCTCCTCCTCCTCCTCCCTCCTCCTCCTCCTCCTCCTCCTCCTCCTCCTCATCCTCCTCCTCCTCCTCCTCCTCCTCCTCCTCCTCCTCCTGCTCCCCCACAATTACTCAATATGAATACTACTCTCCCTCTTCCCCTGATGACGGCCTGGGAGTGTCCGCCCCCCCCGCGTACTGTTTTTTACACACAGGTTTCCCTGGAGTTGTGTTTTCGCCTGCATTTTTTCAAAATGCTGCTCTCGCTGAGGCGCCGGCCTCATTTTCGGGCCACGCTCGTTCCGAATCGTGCTCCCGCTGCAGCGCTGGCCTCATTTCCGTGCTTCCGCTCGTTCCGAATCGTGCTCCCGCTGCAGCGCTGGCCTCATTTCCGCGCTTCCGCTCGTTTCGACTCCTGCTCCCGCTGCAGCGCTGGCGTCATTTCCCGTGCCATACCACGGCATGCACTGCAATGCTAGGTTGATACTACGCTTTGCGGTGCTCTTCTACGCCATGCCATGCTGTGCTCTACAATGCATCGCGTACCCATCATTGCCCTGCTCGACATCCGACTGAGCGAGTAGAGAGGGGATCTGCACAATGGTACGGGATGGGAGGGAGGGGTAGGATGTCAGATATGACGCGAGCGCACCTAGCTTGTCCTTCTCCTCCTCCCCCTCCTCCTCCTCCTCCTCCTCCTCCTCCTCCTCCTCCTCCTCCTCCTCCCTCTCCTCCTCCTGGAGGTGGCCCTTGCAGGCTCTCTCTCTCTCTCTCTCTTGAGCTTCCTTGCCAGCGGCCCCCGCACCTCTGGTGGGTGCAGGCGGCACAGTCCTGCACCACCCCAGGGGCTGCCCGCGCGTCCCTTCTCTCTGCTGCTCATCCTCCTCCTCCGCCTCCTCCAACTCCTCCTTCTCCAACTCCTCCTTCTCCAACTCCTCCTCCTCCGCCTCCTCCGCCTCCTCCAACTCCTCCTTCTCCTCATCCTTCTCCTCCTCCAACTCCTCCTTCTCCTCCTCCTCCTCCGCCTCCTCCTCCTGCTCCTCCTCCTCCTCCTCCCATCCAACTCCTCCTCCGTCTCCTCCTCTTCCTCTTCTCCTCCTCCTCCTCCTCCTCCACCTCCTCGCCCCTCATCCCGAGCTGTTCTATCAGGGTGGAGGGAGAGAAAGAGAGAGAGAGAGAGATAAAAAAAACACAACAACAGCAGCACTGCATTAAGACATCCATCGAACAAGAGAGAGAGAGGGATAACGATAACGAGAAAGAGAGATATAGAAACGGAGAGAGGGAGACCGAGGGCGAGAGAGAGAGAGAGACATAACGAAAAGGAGAGAGAGAGAGAGAGAGAGGGAGAAAGAGAAAGAGAGAGAGAGAGAGAGCGAGAGAAAGAGAAAGAGTGCCAGAGAGAGAGAGAAAGAGGGCGAAATATAGAGAGATGAAAAGAACAGGAGGGAGAGAGATATGGGGGAGAGAGAGAGAGAGACAAAAAAGAGGGCGTCCATCAAGTATCGAGTCAACGCTGCGGCAGCCGCAGGCCGAATCGAAGCATCGCCAGGCGAACCAGGAAGGCCAAAGACACCGACCTGCGACAGGCAAGCTTATCACTCGTGAACGTGTTCTTGTCCGGCGTTTCGACATTGGGCGGAAGGGAGGGGGGAAGGCGGGGGGTCTGGCTTCGGACCTCTGCTTAACGCGACTGTTTGCAGCAGTGCGCCCTATGGGGGAGACTCTACCTGCTTGAAACAGGCGCCAAACACAGCCAAGATCTTACTCCATTGGGGGGGGGGGGGGCGAGGGCCCGCGCCGATCGGCAAAACAAGGAATAAAAGACGATCATCTCCTCTGAAACTTGTTGGTGCTGCTTCGGGCGTGAGATCGAGCGGGCGCCCGCGAGGCGCCAAGGGGCGGCCCCTGGGCCAAGACCAGGACATGCCACCCAAATGGCTTAAACAAGGCAAGCAACAAACACGAAATGCAGACACTGCCTGGGAAGAAGGATGACTCCTTTTACCAAGCGCCCCCTTTACGCCAGGGATGCCGAAATCCCGATCCAAGATGATCTAACTGACGGCCTGAAGCCCACGAGGCGATTGTCTTAGAGATAGATTGCAAGGATGAGGTAGGATGAGGAGAGATAGAAAGATAGAGACAGAGAGAGAGAGAGGGGAAGAGGACAGAGAGAGAGAGGCAGGAATAACGGCAATAACCATTGGAAAAAAGCAGACGAAGAGGCTGGATGATGAGCAGGAGCAAGAAAGAGAGGGGCAGCACCTACGATGGAGCAGGAGGATGGGGAGATTGAATAATACATCATAAAACGAGGGAGGGTCCTCAACACGAGGGAACAGGAAGGACAAAAGACAATACACTGGAGGACCCGCGAGCACCACATTTCCACCTCGCTTCTTCGCAGGAGGTTCCGCCCGCGTGAAGGCCAGCGCGCCCGCGGCAGGCGGCCGTCAGGGCGCCGAGAGCTTGCGGTAGTTGACGCCCCAACGGTCAAGGTCCTGCTCCCTCCACCTCTCTCCTCGTCCTGGCTCCTGCTCCTCCTGCCCCTCCGCCCTCATCCTCCCGCATCCTCCCCAGTCCTCCGCCTCGCTCGCCTCTGCCGCCTCTCTCTGCCTCCTCCTCCTGCACCTCCCTCCTGCTCTTGCTTCCCCATGCATTCCCTCTCCCTCCTTCCTTCCTCCTCCTCCCTCCCCCCATCCACGCCCCGAATCCTGGACTCCTTATTCTCCCTCCTCCCCCCCCTCCCCCTCCTCATCTTCCTCGTCTGCGAACCAGTCCCCTCGATCTCGTGAGCTCCTCGTTTTCGTCGTGTCCATCCTTCGCCTCTCGTCACGTCCGACACTCCGCTGCCTCCTTCCCCTCTTCCGCACTGCTTCCTACATCCCTCCCCTCTCCTGGTCCCTCTTCGTCTTCTCTCCGCGTTGTGCCATTGACAGACAGAGGCCTCGAGGAGAAGGGGTCGTAGGCCCTGTTGTTTCCCTGGAGCCTTCTAGCTTTCCATGGAGTCTTGTGATCTTTCCTGCGGCCTTCCCGCAAGGCAGCGCATCCCAGGTCCCCTCTCGCTCCAAGATGCATGAGTGGGAGGCCTGACATACAGGGGGGGAAACCATCGCGCTGGAATCGGCGACACATCACCGATAGATCGGCGATAGGCCCCCGATAGCAAAACCGCGCGCTCCTGGGCGGGTGTGGGTCTTGAAACCTGTCGGCGGTGAGTGGGCGATTGAGGGTGTCGATGCCTTCCCCCCTGAAACTATCCCCCTCGAACGTCCCCCTGCATGCAGGGAAGCTGCAGGCTTAAGTCGGGCACGTCCCTCTACAGGAGGAATATTTCAAAATAGTAACTACACTGGAGACGATGTTTCGACTACGTTTGACTAGGTTTGACCATTATTTGACTCTTGTTATTAGTTTTCGTCCAAAGCCCGCCTGCAGGAGGACATGCCCGGCCAGACTGCATGCACAGATCTGGCTGCACTCATTCGGCATGCCGCGGCGACGCGCCGGATGCCATGCGGAGGGCCCCGCGTGGCTCGGCTGCCCGAGGCTCGCGCGCGCGGTATACGCGCGCGGCCGCGTGCGCACCGGGCCTTCGCCATAGCCTTAGGTCGGGCATGTCCGCCTACAGGCGGATTTTGGGCGCAATATTAAAAATAGTCAAAACAGACTCAGCAAAATAATCAAACATAGTAAAAAATCGTCCCCAGAGTATTCTTGTACTATCTTAAACTACTCCTCATGCAGAGGGACGTGCCCGACTTAACCCTAGCCAACCACACGCCACGTGCGTCGACACCTGGCGCCACGAAAGAGCCGTTACGGCCGCGACCGGCTGTTCCTCAGCTGCGGCCCCTGCGGGCCGAATCGGGGATCTGCTGACCCGTGTCAATCCAGACCCGGGTCAATCAGGCCTTTCAGAATCCTGCAAGATCCTGCGAGATCCTGCACCCAAGCCCAGGTCAATGCGAAGAATCCTGCAAGATCATGCAGGATCCTGCACCCAAGCCCGGGTCAATGCGACTCTGGCCCAGCAGGATCCTGCAAGATCGGGCGCTCTGACTGACCCCCGTTTGCATTGACCCCCGTCTCTTGAGCCCCGACCGAAGCCCCAGGCTCCTGGACCAGCAAACAACTGCCCAGGACGACGCCCCATGCGAGGCGGGGATGTGTCCATGAACACCGCCTGAGCGACCAATCTCCGTAGACGTCGGCGAGCGGTGGATATGAGCATGCTTAGCCCCCGCAGGGCCCCACTGTATCCATAACGTCCGCCTGCCGAAGTCCAAAGAGGCCGATTCCCCCAAGCGGCGGATATGGATGCAGTCACAGAGCCGTGATGAGGAACGCGGGAGAAGGAGCGAGAGGAGCTTTCTGGCCACGACGAGCCTCGGCAACGAGTGAGCTCCCTGGCCTAGAGAGTTCAGAAACAGCCCGAAAATCGGAGCCCCTCCTGAGTGAAGGGGCCCTGGGACACACAAATAAATACACACAAATAAACCGATTCCCTATATTTCCTGATATTTTCTGGGTTTTTGTCTTCCCCCCCTATCCCCAGATTTTCCCATATTTCCTGGGGGTCGAAGATGAATTGTGTCTGTGTGTTTTCCCCCTCCTGACTGAGCCCAAACTGGTCCTCGTCTCAGCGTCCTGGATGCAGCTCCCGCCTCGGCCCCCCGAGGTCCGGGCCCGCAGAGGTCCGCCGGTTCGCGCGTTTGGCCGCTCCCCAACAACTGTTTTGCTCGGCGGCCGCGGGCTCCGCGGCACGGCGGCTCCAGCCAGCGGAAGGCGAGGCGGGCAAGAACGGCCCAACCTGCAAGCGAAGGAGCAGCGAGCCTGGAGAAAAGAAGCAGGGCAACCAGCACACGTTCCTTCCAGCGGCGAGGTGCTGACACCGTCGCGGTGCGCGAAGCCAGGACATGATTGGGCCAATCACCACCACCCAGCGGTAGCAGATGGGTAGACAAGCCAGAGTACAATCACGCATATTTGTTTGCTAGCAGCCAACTGCTCCAACACAGCGATGCGCTAGGGCGGGGCACGCTTAGGTCTATTACCACCAAGCGTTTCGGGTAGAGGTCAGGACGTGGCTGACGCTTGCAGTGGGAACAGAGGGATGGAACCCATGCGCGCGAAATATGCCGAAGCCATACAGAGCGGCGTGAGAAATTGGCATGGAATCCACGCTGAGCTCAGAAGATCCATCTAACGCGAATCACGTAAGAGTGCGAACGCACTTTTTCCCTGTCACGGCGCGGCAGATGCGATCCGCTCGCGCATCCAAGCAAAACGGGCTACGGCATTGCCAAATCTCCCGCACGCAAGGGGAGGAGGGAAAGAAGAGAGCTGGCCGCAGAGACAGGAGGGAGGAGGGCGCCCCCCTCACGCAGCGAGGTCCCAGGGGGGCGCGCGGGGCGGCCAGGCCGCAAGGCAGCCCCTGGCAGCGAACGCCCGGCGGCGTCGCGGGCGAGTGCGCCAACTCAGCGAGGGTGTTAGTTTGGGGAACAAAACATGACATAAACATAAAAACACGGAGGTCCGCGCAGATTTCTCGGATCGGCGCTGGGGACCCCCGGCGGCGCCTCCGGCGCCGCCAGTGGCGCGCTCCGCGCGCCAGAGAGGGGGGTCCAGCGCCGATCCGAGAAATCCGCGCGGACATCCGAGTTTTTATGTTTATGTCACTTTTCGTTCCCATATTAGTGGATCACGCTCAGCTGATGGCCACCGACCGTGTGCCGAGGGGCTGCGCGCGCACGAACAAAGAGAGGCACGACGGTCGGGCACACGGGGCGACGCCTGCGGCCCGCTTTTTGGGGGGCGGACGCACAGCGCGGCCGGCGCCGGTCTGCCCAGGAAGGCCCATGGGACGAAGCCAGGACGAGAGGACGAGGATAGATTCGGGTGAGGATAAATCGAGAATCTCTGAGATCCGGCGGCTCTGGGGGATGCATCAGGCGCCGCGGCCTTCCCAGAGCGCTCCAGAACGCTCTGAGACCGCTTCGAAACGCTTTGGAACGGATTTATCCTCGTCCCAGCCCTGTCCGAAGGCCGACTGTGCAGTAGCAAAGCCGGCAACACAAACACACACACACAAACCCACACATACAAACAGACACACACACACACACTTGCACACACACACACACACAAACACAGATACACACACTTTTGTCGGCGGCGCAGAGGATCCGCAGGCGCGGGCAGCAGATGGAGGTGCGAATTGAGCTCGAACGCTGTCGCAGGCACAGTGTGCAAAACGTGCACACTGTGGCACACACACACACACACACACACACACACACACACACACACGCGCGCACGCACGCACGCACGCACGCACGCACGCACGCACGCATGCACGCACGCACGCACGCACATACACACACACACACACACACACACACATACACACACACACACACACTCCACCATCCACCGCGCGCGACGGCGGCGCCCTCAAGGGGTGCGGGGAGTGGTCTCCAGCGCCAGCAGTGCTCGTGGTCGTGTACCCTGGTGCCCTCCAGTTTCCTGCCGTCTGGGTCACGGCCGCAGTCCGCCGAGCCACGCCGTGAGCCCATGTGTAATTCCTTTGCACGCTGCGGGCAATGCCCGCGCGACCAGCGCTCAGTAAAGCGTGGCTCGCGCACCGAGCAAAAACGTGTGGCCTACCACTTCCACTCGCTCTACAGTGGGTACATGCGCAAGGAGACCTTGCCGAAAGAGCTCCTAGGGCACATTCGGATTCGAAATGTGAGCCTCCGCGAGTGCCCCAGGGCTTCTGTGAGCTCTCAGGGCAACCGGGCGATGAGAAACTTCCACAGGAACCCCTGCCAAAAGGCCGATTCTTCTTGGATGCGCTTGCTCTACGTTCCCGGAGCTCCCCCCGAACTGCACTTGAGGTCTCTGGAAGCCAGCCCCACCGCAGGCCACGAGGCCTCTAGAGGCCTCTGACGTCAAACAACAATATGCATACATACATGTGTATGAATTTATAGACATCAACACAACGGGAAAGCATAAACAATGCAACGCTACAGTCTCAGTCCTCAACACTCGAATGGCGACGACGACGACGACGTCGACGGCGAGGGCGAGGGCGGCGGCGGCGAAGACAACTCCTTCAGACGCACAGCCAGCCGCTCACGGAACTCCTCGAAGCCCGCAACCTGCGCGCTCGGGGTCCAGAGCCGCTCGGCCAACGCGTGGGACCTCGGGAACGCCATGTACTCCAGGTGCTTCCAGTCTGGGATGTACTCCGACCTTACAGCCAAGGTCCCAAGGATCATGGCGCCGCATTTTCCCCCAACAGGCGAATTTGCCTTGCTTCGAGTCCTGGAACCCTCTCGAATCGACCGGGCCCGATAAATGATGCACAGGGACGGGGTCCAGGGCTCTGGTCGCGATGTTTCGCGATGTTGTTTGTTGTTTGCAGCGTCGCGTTTCAGGGAAGATCGAAGATCGAGGTCATTCGAGCTGATGGCAAGCGGGAAACCCCCGTCAGCCTCGGACGGATCTCGAAGGACCTCCTGGGGGCCCTCCGATGATGAGAATGGTGCCTGTTGGCCCAGCTGTTGAAGGTGTTCGGCCCCGCGCGGTGCCTTCCCGCTGCTGCGCCCCCCGAGTACCTTCCTTCGGTGCAGGAGCCTTCCCGCAAGGACGCCTGAGCCCCGAACTGTCGCCAGAGCCTCACGGCCCGAACTCACATAAGAAGATGCGCCGAGCACGCATGTCGCGATGCTTTCAGTACGTCGCGCTGTTTTCGCGATGTCGGGGGTCGGGGTGACCCGCCGCGTTGCGATTCACTGGGGGGCTGCACATGCGGACATCACATCACAAAACAACTCAATGTACCAGTATGGATATGGGTGCTTGCATATGCTGTGCTCACGCGTACGCATGGTTGGATGATTTGACCGTCACCGAACTATAGTCCAGCATTGTGGGCGGGCGCCTCCTGGGTCGCTCGCGGCTGGCGCGAGGCCGCGCGGGGGCGCCTGCTGGGCCGACTTCGACAAAAAATCAGTGGGGATTGCCCCTCGGTGGCCCCTGTCTCCGTGGGCTCGCGAGGCCTCCTGGAGGATCCTGCACTCTGGAACCCTGGCGATCGAACTGGCGAGAGCCCTCCACCTGAGCACCCCACGCGCGCGCACGGGACAACAGAAGCCCCGCAGGGCCCGTGGCGCGCGCTCGGCGGCGCCCACTTGCCAGCGCAGCCGGGCAAAGAGGAGGGAGATGACGGGCCGATTCCCCACCGCCACTGCCACGGGGAAGAGAGCGAGGAGGAGGAGGAGGAGGAGGAGGAGGAGGAGGAGCAGGAAGAGGAGGCGGACCTCCCCATCCCCACTTCCCCCCCCCCGAAGTCCGGCCCATAATGAGAGGGCGCGAGATGCAGGCAAACGACGACTGACGCAGCGGCGGGAGGCCGCGGAGGCGACCCCGAGACATAAGCGGGAGCCGCAGGGATGGAGCCGCTTCGCGCATCACAGGGCCCCTGCGCCCCGCCGCGGCGCTGGTCGGCGATAAACCGCGGCAGCGCAGGGCGCGCCCCGAGCTCCCGAGCCTGCGAGGAGCTGCAGAGCAAAACCTCGCGCGAGCCCGACGTTTTAAGCGCATCGCCAGGCGCCGCGGCGCTCGCGCCACCCGCTGGCCCGCGCGCGCGACCGGCTCCCGGGAAGCGCCACGGACTCCTGTGGCCCGCGCGCCCGCCCCGCAGCCGCCCTCCCTGGTCGAGGGCCTCCGCTGGCTGCACCACTGGCCGCGGCGCTGGTGCGCGCAGCTGTCCTCGCCCGAGCTGCAGAAGAGATCGCCGCCGCAGTCCGCCGCGTGGGGCTGCGAGCACCGCGCAGGGGCCCCGGCACCCCCAGGGCACCCGCACTGGGCCTTGTCGCAGCTGCCGCCCAAGCGGGCGGGCGATGGCGCGGGCGGCGACGGATCGGGCGGCGAGGGCGCCGCCCCGCCGCGCCGCGCGCCGCCGCAGTTGCCGCACTCGTGGGGGCTGCTGCGGCAGTACAGGGAGTCGCTGTGGGCCGCTGCGCAGGGCTTGTTGCACCAGTCCTGGTAATGAGGCGGGCACCCGCACCGGCACAAACGGCGCGAAAGACTTTGAGAACGTGTAGTTGCCGTGGTCGTCGTCCTCCTCCTCCTCCTCCTCCTTCTCCTCGACGTGGGCGTCGTCCCGCCCCCGGCGGCCCGAGGAGTCCCTGCGGCGGCTTGCCGCGGGCACCTGCAGCAGCACGGCGACCTCGCCCTCGGCTGACAGACGCCGCCCAGACAGGACGGGGTCCGCCGCCGCGCGGCCAGCCGCCAGCAGAATTGCCGCCACCGCCGGAACGCCCGCCATCCTCGCCCCCGAGCCTCGAAGTTAGGAGCAGCACATCTAGTAGCACAGGTATTAATACAGCTGTTCATACGCTAGTAGTCCAGCTAGCAGTACAGCAATTAGTACAGCTGTTCGTACGAGTGTCACACGGAGAAGTGTTTGTATAAATACAGCTATGTGTGGTCGGGACCTCGTGATCGGCGTATCGCGGTGGCGGCCCTGGCCATACGAAATGGCCTGCAATCGGACAACGTGTCGCCCTGGCCCGCAAGGCGGAAGGCTGGGAAAAACTCGAGGCGTTGACCTCTGCTTTGGGATTGAGGGTTGGGGACGCGGGCAGCGTGCCGCGCCGAAGCGTGGTGGGACAGAACCGAAGGAGCGACACGCCAAGCCAAAGTTCCTGACCGTATGCGCACATGCACATACATATGCGATTGCTCAGTGGTGCGTAAAGAGAACTCTTCCGGTCGGAAAAAGCAAGCGCGGGACTCAAACCTCGACGTCGGCGGCGCTCGGAACGGTGCTCTGGCGTTGCAGAGAGAATCCACGTCAAGACAAACTTTCGCAGGCCCGTGCGGACGTATTGGGTCAGCACTGGACTCCCATCTCCACACACCTTCCCTGGCGCGTGGAGCGAAACGGGGGCAGCGCCGGAGGCACCGCCCTGGTGTCTAGGTGGGCACAAGCCCCGGCGCCGACCCAAGAAAACCCGTGTGGACCTCCGAAAGGTTATGGTTTTATGCGGCTCACGGTGATCGTCCCAGTACTCCGACCATGTACTCCGACCTCACGGCCAAGGCCGCAGAAAGAGGTGGTGGCTGGGAGGCCTTGGCCGGCGCTCTGGCAGTCTCTTCGACAGCCCTGCGCGCACGTAGACACATCGTGCTACCACAAGGAGCGCCAAAGCCTTTCTAGCAACGGCGAGCCGGCCACGGCGAGCCTCGGTCACGAGTTCCCAGGCCTGGATCCAAAGAGCGGGCCGGAACCCCCCTCCTGAACCCAGGTGGTCCTTATCCTAGCGTCTTGAGCGTATCCGTGCCAGTGCGGGCGAGGGGGGGGGCTCGCAAAAGTTCTGCCGCCTCCCCAGGGGCTGCTGAGGTATCGCTGGGACAGAGCGAGGAGAGGAGGCGTCTCACTTTGTCCTCCTGCGGCACGGGGAAAAGGGTGATGGTTGCTAATTTCTTGGCGTCGACCTCTGGGGGGCCGTTTTTGTGGCCCCAGGGGGTGCCAACAAAAACAGCACCTGACGGAAAATAAGTGGCGAGGGTGGTGACCAGAGACCCGGGGGTAAATGTCGCACACGAATCGTGACGTTGGATGTCTGGGTATGGGTAGGCGCGGCCGTAGCGTGCAGCTGGATCGCCACCCAGCCGCTCGAGCAGATCGCACCTCTGACCACGCTGGCGACCGCTGGTCGCGATGGCGCGGTCACCAGAACAGTGTGATCGCCTGGAGGCCGAAGGCGGGATAGGCGGGCACTGAAGGCTCCGACCAGAGCTGCGCCTGCCCGCCCACCACGAGGCTCTGCTGCTCCTTCGTGAGTCCAGGCGGTATTGGGTCGTACCCGTAGACAGACTCTAAGGGGCTGTACCCTCCAAAAGCCTTGGGCTCGGTCCGCTCGTGTCCCTGGTAGTGGTCGAAGTACAGGATCCCCTGGTCTGCATTCACCACGTGCCTCCCTGATTTTGCCGCCTTAACCACCTCGTCCCTCGACCTCCACGCTACGATGGTGCCGTCCTTTGGAAAGCCTCCCACAGTGCGAGCCTCGTCCCAGGCGAACATGGATATGTTCTTGGCCCGGAGGAGGTCGGCACACCTGGCGTTGAAGTATTCCTGGACGTTGTTCAGGCGCTCGGCGCGCCGGACCGTCTCGGCCAGCTTGGACCTCTTCCACTCGTTCCTCGACACCTCGTCACCGCCGATGTGAACCATGGCGTCCGGGAAGAGATCGGCCACCTGTGTGAACACATCACTCAGGAACTTCATTGTGGCCGCAGATGGGGCCATGGTGTACTCGAAGGTGCCCCACTTGTCCATCGGGCGGGTCGGCGCACGCCAGTTGGCAACATCCGAGTTGCCCAGCTCTGGGTAGGCTGCAATGACCGCCGCGGCATGGCCCGGCACGTCGATCTCCGGGAGCACGCGGATGTGCCTCGCGTGGGCGTGCCGCACCACGTCGCGGATCTCGTCCGCCGTGTAGGCTCCGCTGGAGACCCCCTCCGAAGCTATCATGGTCAGCTTGGGGTACCCCTCCACTGGAAGCCGCCAGCCCTGATCGTCCGTGAGGTGCCAATGGAACCTGGGGAATCCAACAAGTACTGATACAGCTAGTCCCCAAAACCTCTCATGGGGTGCGTTCTGACCAAAACTTCGCAGCGAATCCAGCCGTGGCGACGAGGGCAGGCGAAAACGAGGCAAGGGCAGCGGTATCGGTACCTTACTCCTCCTCTGAGAACCGGTTCAGCTTGAGGCTGGCCATGACGTCCAGCAGGGACTTCACGTGCTCGGCGCTGAAGAAGTGGCGGCTGACGTCCAGGTGAAGGCCGCGCCAGCCAAACCTCGGAGGCTGCACGCGAGGGAAGGGGGCCCCGCGCCAACAGTCCAAACAGAAAAGAAGACAGCTTCAGTGACACGCCGCCGTTTGGAAGCCATCAGCGCGCTACTGTGAAAGGAGCACCATATGCCTTCGCACGCGAACGGGCTCCCAACGGCGGCGTGTCGTCGATCATCTCTTCTCCTGCCGAGCCCACAACCCGCGCCGACGCTGCCGCCCGAGCGATAGCACCAGTGGAAGAGACACGGAGGAGGGAGAGGAGGAGGAGGAAGATGAGGAGGAGGAGGAGGAGGAGGAGGTGGAGGAAGAGGAGGAAGAGGAGGAGGAGGAGAGGAGAGGGGGGGAATGGGGAGGAGAAAGAGGAGGGAAAGCGGAGAGGACTGGGTGGAAGAGACGCGGGCCAGCTCCAGACATCCAGAGGCCTGCCTCTGCGCGAGGGGAGGGGAACGGGATCCTGAGGGCAAGGGGTCCCGACCCCCCCCCCCCAAGGGGCCTTCCGCGGGCCCCGGGGAGCCCGTGGGCAGAGCGGCGCAGGACGAGAAGGTGACCCCAGGGGAGGCCCCCCCCCCCTGGGGGGGGGTTCGGGACCCGTTGCCCTCAGGATCCCGTTCCCCTCGCGCAGAGGCAGGCCTCTGGATGCCTGGAGCTGGCCCGCGTCTCTTCCACCCAGTCCTCTCCGCTTTCCCTCCTCTTTCTCCTCCCCATTCCCCCCCTCTCCTCCTCCTCCTCCTCTTCATCCTCCTCTTCCTCCACCTCCTCCTCCTCCTCATCCTCCCTCTCCTCCTCCCCCCCTCCTCTTCCTCCTCCTCCTCCTCCTCCTCATCTTCCTCCTCCTCCTCCTCCTCCCACCTCTGCCTCCTCCTCCCTCCCTCCCTCCTCCCTTCTCCCTCCTCCCTCCTCCTCCTCCTCCCTCCCCACCAGCCTCCCACTCCTTCGCCGGAAGGAAGGAGCAAAGGCAGAACAGCAGACTCATCCACGTTCGAAGGTCCGCGCCTATCTCTCGGGTTGCAGGGGCGGCGCCGACAGCGCCACCCAACGCAAATCAAACAAATCCGCGAGGAGCTCCGAAGGTTTATGCGTATGCCGTCATCTCTTCTTCGATTGGAAGCCCCTGGGCTGTTCTAAGACGGCCCCTGGCTTTCAACAAGCCCCCGCCTTCTTAGCGAGAGCAGGGCGGATGGGCTGGAGCCCTGACCACGCTATGCCGCTTGAGAAACCTTTCCCGGATAGTCGATGTCTCGAGTTTCTCCACACGGTGTTCCCAATGGTCTGGACCTGTCCGGCGGGGCCAGCTCTGCATCCTGAGTCGTTCTCTCCCTGTCCAGTGACCCAGCGAAAGGCCCCCAGAGGCGCCAGAACTGCGACCCCCCCGCCTTGAGTTTCTCGAAAGGTTCGAGAGGCTTGGGCCCACCACCCCCGCAAGAACTGCGGGGCGTCCTCGATCGCGAGGCCGGGGACGTCCGCCGGGCCGCCCTCGGGGGTCAGCTGCCGCAGCGTCTGCACCGCGTAAAAGAGCCCCTCGTCGGCCGGGGCGCTCAAGGTCGCCACCCCGTGGCCGACGGCCTGGGCCGGCCGCCGCCGCGATTGCTCCTCCTCCTCCTCCTCCTCCTCCTCCTCCTTCTCCTGCTCCTCCTCCTCCTCCTCCTCCTCCTCCTCGTCCTCCTCCTCCTCCTCCTCCTCCTCCTCCTCCTCCTCCTCCTCTTCCTCGGACGCATCATCCTTATCCTCCTCCCTCATGATCCCTGCTCCTTCCTTCCTCCTGTGTCTCCTCCTTCTCGTCCTTCTCATCCTTCTCCTCCTTCATTCCTTTTCCTTATGAAAATTCTCCCGTTTCGCACCCCGAGGCACGTCGAAAAACGGGCCGGGCGTTTCGCCTGAAACTTCCTTATTATTTCTGAGCCTGAAGCTTACAAACTGGTAGCAGCTTCGCAAATAAAGAATGGGTCGTTTTCTAAATGTGGATTTCGCCAGCGCGCCGCGCACATTCGATTGAAACGTGTGCAAGAGCTTCACGGATTGAAGACAAGTCAATTTCAAAATGTGGCTCTGGCCTTTGTGCCGCGCAGATTCGTTTCAACACGTTGCAGCTTCACGGATTGAAGACAGGTCGGTTTCAAAATGTGGTTCTCGCTGTAGCGCCGCGTACATTCGTTTGCAAATGTTGCAAGAGCTTCACGGATTGAGGGCGGGGCTCGTTTTCAAAATGTAACTCCCACCTGTCTTATGAAAGGAATTCCACTAATCTCGTTGATTCTCTTGGTTACCAGTCCAAAAATGGTATTGTGGACAGAGGGCGCAACAGTTACGCTGACTCGCGGAGTCGAAGTCCCAGGAATGGCGTTCTGACGCGATTCAGACTCGTCAAGACGCGACAGTCAGGTTGACATGTGGCGTTGAAATCCTCAGAATGTTGTTTTGGCACGCATCGATATTTTCACACGACTGTCCCCCAACGGCGCACGACCCTCAGTGGGCGTAAACACTTGTAGAAGCCTATGAAGAAGGAGCTTGGAGTGAAGGTGCCTTCCAACATCGTTGATAAGTCTTGGGTTCACCCTTGTCCTCCTCCTCCTTCTCCTCCTCCTCCTCCTCGTCCCCCCTCCTCTTCATCCTGCCCCTCCTCCTGCACCCCCTCCTCCTCCTCCTCCTCCTCCTCCTCCTCCTCCTCGTCCTTCCCCACCCCCTCCTCCTTCTACCCTGACGCGCTCGCGATGATTGGAAAACCCGACGGACGGTTGTTGCCCATTTTCGGCCTCTGGGGGGGGGGGGGGGGCCCAGACCCCTCCAACGCCTCGAAAAACTCCAGGCGGAGGCGTTCGCAATGCTCGGCATCCAGGAAGCCCGCACCGGGCCCAGGGACCGAACAGACACCAACTCAGGATGAAAAGCCAGTGCTGGGGAGGGGGGGCAGACCTCGGAGGAGCCACGTTGTGAAAAACAAGTCGCGCGGACAGCGCCTGGGTCCTGCTCCCTCCTGCTCCTGCTCCCGGCCGCCCTTAGTTCTCGCTGGACACGTCCTTGAACTGTATGGCTCTGGCTCTCTGCAAGTCTTCTGGCTCGCAAGATGGGCGGTGGATCTGTACCGGACCGAGTCTCGCCTGGATGGCAGGCCCGAGGGGCGTTCGTCTGTTAGGGAGGCAAGGCCGACGCCTGTCGGCAAGCGGTCGCGGTGGCCTCGGGATCAGTTGGCCTGAAGTTTCGTTGCAGCCTCTAAGAGCGCGCGTGCGACACACGCGCGCCAAGTCCCTGGCGCGCACAGGAACCGCAACGCGGTCAATCCTGCCCCTGTCACCCGTCTGTCCGAAGAAGGTCGCGCCCGCGCAATGATCCGCAGCGCGCAAGAATGTGTCGCCCCGCTCACAAACAAAAATCTCCGAGCAGACCCCCATTCCCGTTCTCCGGCTCTGGGCAGCCACTTCCCACTGCCGCGCTCCTACTACGCTCCACAAGGCTGTCCGTTGCTCGTGCCAACCCCAAAACTCGAGTCAATATCACCTCCTGCCAGTATGGTCGTACGCACGCCTAGTCGTCTATAATATGATCCACTCATGCAAATAGTTTCTTGGCTGTCTCCAACTGTTTCCTATCGTGCGCATTCGCCAGGTAGACGCACATCACTGCACTGTCGTAGTCAACACCCTGCAATCGTGCTCCTAGCGCGCGCCCTCGCATCAGCATGGGCGGCGCATGCGCGCCCCTGAGACATGCATTGTGGCATCCGGTTGCTCACCATGGCCGACCCGCCGCAACTAGTATTGACGAGCTTATCTTATCCCCATCCACTCTTCAATGCCCAATGCTTGCCCATCATGCCCTGCGTAAGTGCTGTCGCTGCTAGCCCCTCCTTTGTACCCGCAAGTCGTAGGACATCCCATCCCTGCAGAAACGCCGAGATGTTCCCGCGCCTCCCGCGGCTGGCCCACGCGAGGGTGCAGGTCGCGATGCGCACGTTACGCGTTCCGGCGTTGCCGGCACACTTAGCAACAGAGAGAGCAAGAGCAAGGGCCCCGCCCCCCCCCCCCCCAAAAAAAAAAAAAATGGCATCAGCGCCAGAGAAGGGCGCCGCCCGCCTGTGCGTGCTGGGCCGCATGTTCGGCGGCGCGATGCGGGGGGCGTCCGCCCCCCCTCCTGCCCCCTGAGGTCAGGGCGGTCTTCTGCGCGCGCGCGCGTGGCGCGCGGGGTTGCGTCGGCGGGCGTGCGCGGGCGACCCTGCCCCCCCTCGAGGAGTAGATAGGCCCTGTGGGGGCCAGCATGCATGGGGCAAGGCGTGGCTGCGCTTCTGGCGTAGGCACGCGGTGGCAGGGTCGCATCTCCCCTCAATCGTCTCGCCGTTTCTGCTCGGCCGCTCCGCGCGCGCAAGGGCGGCCGTGCGCTGCCAGCCTGCCGCCGCCGCCGCGCAGCAGCCTCGGATGAGGAGGGGCGGGGGGGCAATGGTGGGAATAACCCGGGCAGCCTCCACTCCCCTCTTGTCTGCTTTTCTGGGCGCGAGTAGGGCCCCCACCCGGCTGGGCCCGCGCCCCTCGCGCTGCAAGGGTAGCGCCGGGGGGCGCGGTAGGCCTGCGACGTCGGCCTGGCGAGATGACGCTCAGAGGCGCTCGCTATTTTCAAACCTGCTGCACGGGCCGGGCTGCTTCGACTCGGGCCAGACGGGCCAGCTGTCGAACAAAACTGTCTAGCAGACCCGCCGTTCTAACTGGCGCAGACGGGCCAGCTGTCAAACGTCATTGTCTAACACACCCGCCTATGCGAGATCATGCGGGACCCCGTCGCCCCCTCGGAGCCCTGGGAGTCTGCGTCGGAGGCAACTCGACGACGGACTCAACAGCGGGCGGCTTGCGCCTCTCTCGTCGGCGCGCGAGGCCTGATGGGCCGTCCGACCATGCCTCGGCCGGGACACGGCGTCGCCGTGCTGCAACTCGCAATCTCGCTTCGAAGCGTTGGGCTGGGGGCCCCTCTACCCCCAGCCTGCGGGCATTCAACAAAAACAAAAAAGCATCGCAGCACGCAGCTCGAAGCAATGCAATTCCAACGGGGGCAGGGAAGAGGGGGGAGGCCACACTTGTTAGGACGCCCAACGGGCTCGCTAGAACTCACCATTCGGTCCCCAAGCCATTATGTTGAAATCTCCTCGATCCCAGGGCAACAACGGCAATGGGAAATCACGTCGAGGCCGGTCCAATCGGAACAGTGGCACCCAAACGCACAGGCTCTCGGAGCACTGCGAAATTTCGCGGATGCGTTGACTGAGCGCGCGCGCCACCAAAGAGTGGCGACCGCCAGATGCATCGACGCGTGCCCGGTGACAAACTTCACATTGCCACAGCACGTCTCAATGTACTTCATCTCTGGCATCTGCGTGCGGATTCTGCTCAAATGATCGAACTGAACCTGTTCATGTTTGCCGCGTTTACGAACGAGGCGATATATCTTGGTTTCCAGTGACTTTCCCGAGGTGCCCAACGAGGGTGAGATCGATTGATGCAAGGTCAGAGCCCCCCGAATGCGCGGAACGAACGAGTGCTGATGCCAGCCCCGATGCCATCTGCACGGGGCGCGTTCGAGGTCAGTCCGTTCCGAGTCGAAGGTGGCGCGCGGCGAGCCCTTCCCGCGCAGCCCCGCAGCGCAAGGCAAACCGAATACAAACGGCTCTCGCAGCAGCGCGGATATCTAGAAACCCGACGCCGAGACCATTCGCCTGCAGCTGGGTGGCGAGCCCGCAGGAAATCGCGTTCCTCGGGCCAACCGTTAGCAGCGAAACTCCAACCTTGAAGGTTTCCACCAGTTGACCACTGGCAGGGCGCAGCTGAAACCTGCATTGCTGGAGGGAGACACATGCCGCCCTGGAGGCAAGGGCAGAAAGGGCCATCCCAGACCAAGACGTCAAGCAAGACGGATCCGAGCTTGAAATTTCGGCAGGACGTCGTCCAATACGTGGAGGTGCCCGTTAGGCCCAATAGGATACCCGAAGTAAATCGCCCAAGACATTACCACCATATTCGAACTCGGATCCCCGAAGTCCTCAAGCAACTTTTTCATGAAATCACGGTTCAGGCACAAACGCCCAACGATCTGGCACTTGCGGGGATTCAGTTTGAGGTTCGCTATATCTTTGGAACTGTTGGAGGCCGTCTAGGACAGAGCCAAGGTCAGTCATGACGTTGAGAAGCGCAAAGAGGATGTGATCTGCATGTGCGAGGTTAGCGTTGCAGTTGGGCGCGGCATATGAGCGGAGCCATGGGGCCAGGGGTCGGTGGCGAGCACGCATGATAACACAGAAACGAGGCAGCCCCGTTTGACCCCCAGAAATCAAATCAATATTCCCGAACCGTTAGCCGGCAATAAAATGTGTGTATATATATGTATATATATATCCTTGGTTCCCCCCATGCATCATCTCGAAGAGACTGACTACAAACGGCGGCGAGCGCATGATGGCGAGAACGCGGAGGAGCCAGGCGGGGGCGAGAGAGGGGAGCGCTGCCGAGAAGCCGGCGAGAAGCATCGCAGCGCGCGGAACTCCGTGCGCGGCGCTGTCGCATCCCCCAGGCCTCCGCCCTCAATGT